TGACTGGTGCAAGCACTGTGGAAATCAGTATGGAGATACCTCAAAGAACTAGGACTGGAAGTCCCATTTGACCCAGCTATTCCCCTCCTGGGGATCTTCCTGATAGAATTAAAAACATCATACCAGAGTGATATGTGCACACCTATGTTTCTAGCAGCACAGTTTGTAATAGCTAAAGTTTGGAAACAGCCCAAGTGTTCATCAACCAATGAAGGGATAAAGACGTGGAATTTTTATACAATTAAGTACTACTCTGCCAAAAGAAAGATAAACTTGAGACATTTCTTGCTAGATGGATGGACCTTGAGACCATGCCCTGAAGTGAAATAAATCAGGCACACGCATTTAAATATGGCAAGGTATCTCTGGTGTGAGAAACTGAAAGTGTAAATGAGGATCAAAACGTATAATAGATATTGTGAAATAGGAAGAAAATGTCCAAATGGAAGGGGAACTAGCAAGGGGAGAGGAAGAAAGGAAGAAGAAAATAAAAGAAAAAAGAAGGAAAAAATGAAAACAAAGCTTTTGTAAATAAGAAGGGGAAGAGGGGTTGAAGGGAGGGAGGGGGATGGGGAAGAAAAGAATCAAAATACATTGCGTCCCTGTACAAATTTCCCATGACCAATGTTATCACTATGGATATCTGAAATATACCAGTAAAATTAAAAAAGAAAAATAATGTATATAGAATTTATGCTAACAATACAAGCATATTTTAAAAGGTACATGACTAAGAAACATTCACTGGCACTATCTGGAAGTTTACATGGTCTTATTTATTTATTTGTTTGTTTGTTTGATTTTTGAGACAGCGTCTGCTATATAGTCCTGGCTGGCCTTGAACTCACTATTTAGCTCAGGCTGGTCTCCAACTCCTGGCATTCTTCCTGCCTCGCCTCCCAAGTGCTGGGATTACAGTGTGTGCCACCCAACTTACATAGTCATGTTTATAAGTGCAACAGACTTTATTAATATTTTAAAATATATCAAAAGGATTATTAATTGAAAAAATAAAAGTAGAAATAAAAAGAGAATCAGCACCCATAACAGATTTTAATTCAACAGGATGATACAATGTTGCTAATCTTTTATGTGTCGAATAATATTGTAGAGGAAAAGGGTCTGGTTTTGTAGGCAAGGAAAGACTCCATTAGGTTTTCTGGCTAATCTTGAGTAGAAAGGGTTAAAATCTCACTAGAGAGTCCAATGAACAAAAGAAGAGAAGGCTGGTACACAGAGCCGGAGAAGCTGGCAGGCTGGCACTTAGCCAATTCAGCCTAGCACCCCCTTGCCACCTTTGATAAAGTGCAGAAGGGACAATGAGCCGTCACTTAAGACTCTTACTTAGTATATAAAAACAGAATATCCCCCAGCCTCGGTCGCTTTATCACTGTACTAAATACAGAAGCATCCCCTTACTGACTCACCCTCGTACGGCAGGCCCCGCCTAACCTTCCAGAGACAAGGCGCTGACAAAGACAAGGGGCCCACTTAGGAATCTGCACGTGGGCAATGGCAGTTAGGGTCTTGGGCCCGGACACCCATCCATGACAGTCCCCAGAACCAATCAGGTCGTGACAACTTCCAGAGGCTGACCGGGGTGGGGGGTCCCCAAAGCGTGATTGAAAAAGAGCTAAGGAACAAGCACCCACAGGGACTCCGCTTTCCAAAGCCCTACTCACGTCTTGCTGGGCGGCTTTCTGGCCTCCGCTTCTTTTCTTTCTTACAAATAAAGGGCTTTTCCTTTTACACTTTGCCCTGTAATTTGTTGCTCATGCTGAGTTTATGCTCTCCAAGGGCTGGGCAGCAGCCGTATGGTGCACACCCTGGACACCGCATTTCCAAACCTATAAACCCAAATTGATAGAACTTAAAGACAGAACACAGCATCTTTGGGGGATACTTTAAATAAATAACTTTCCAATAAAATGTTTTTAAAATCCCACTTGTGATAGGAATAAGAACCTGAGGATGCAGGAATAACTAACAAAATATACACAACACACACACGTAAAACTATAAAATATTGCTGATGGACACTCATGGATCAGAAGACTGAATATTAAAATTATTCTCTCAATTCTACTCAAATTAATCTTTTCAGTAAAATCTCAAACAAAATTTCAGCAAGTATGTTTGAAAAAATGGAAAGTTGATTTTATAATTTGTATGGAAATGCAAAGAACTTGAAATTCAAAATAAATATTGCTTAATTTCAAAACATAAAAATCACAAGATTGTGTTAATATAAGGATAGACAGCGAAGCAAAACAGAGTCTAGGTGTAACACATACACATACACGCAACTGGAAGTCAGCAATTCAGCCAAGATCATTCAACACAGGGAGGGTGGTCTCCTCAGCAAAGGGTTCTGGGATAAATGAGTGTCCACGTTTTTAAAACTGGACTCCAGTTCTTATTTCACATTGAAGGGAAGAGAGAGAGGAAGTTAGGTAGAGAGGGCACAGGTCCTGAACAGTTGACCTAAAGTAAACTACGTGTGGAGGTTTAAGTGAGTTAACATACCAGAAGGCCCAAATAACTGACTTACGCAAACCAACTATCATGGCGTAATAGAATACAGGAGACACAGAACAGGTCCTAAGCAAATGGGAGAAGCCTTGGAGGAAGTGAAATACAAACAAAGCTGCTTGCTTTCTGGACATCAAAGGCCCACCTGCAGCCAGGAGCATCCCTGCTTTCTGTCATGTTCAGTGGTCCCCGAAACTGTATAAAAGGCCACTGAACCTAAATACCTATGGTGTCCGCCTTACAGAACCCCTCTGTAATGGAGCAGGGAGCTTTTCCTTTTATTTTTTTCTACAAAACATACATTCAATCACTCCCTACTGCTTGCTGATTGCTGTTCTGTCAGCTTCAAATTTTGCTGCCTCCAAACAAGGATTGAGATCCTGCACAGGAAGAACCTGGTGACAACATCGTACAGAAAAATTACCCCCAAGTGAGTCATAGACCTACATACCCAATGTTTGTGCATGTTTGTGATTTAGCGATAGACAAAAATATTTTAGATAGAACTCAGCAAGTTTAAATTTCTGTTCTTCAAAATACAGATGGACAATGGAAAGATGGGCCATATACTGCTTTAAAGTTTTATATATGTATATACATTCATCTATGTATGTATATGCTTACATATGTGTCATATGTGCATATTACTATATAGTCCATATGTGTCATTTATATCTCTACCTTTGCATCTAGCTCTTTATCTGTATCCCTATCTATAGATATAGATATATAACAAAAGAATGCAAAATACAAGTATAAAAGAATACCACAATCACATTGGAATATAGTTTGACAGTTTCCTAAAAGTTTATAACATTTACCATAATACTCAGTAATTCCATTTCCAGGTATTTACCCAAGAGAAATAAAAATGCATCCACACAAAGAATTATACATGCATTTTTATGGCATTAGTAGCAAAAATTTCAAAACTTGGATACCTATCAACAGATGCCGGATAGACAAATTTTCATATATCCCTGAAGTGAATACCACAAAACAATAAAAAATTAATTATTTGTATATGCAATAGCACGGATGACTCTCAAATCATCATGCTGGCTGAAAGAAGCCAGGCATTAAAGAATGCAAACCTTATGATTCCATTTATATAAAACTCTAGAAAAGATAAATGTTTTCCAAATCTAATCAAACAAAATCTAATCTAAAAGGCAGATTTAATCTAAATTGGTGTTCTTCACCTGGACCCTGTGACTGGGGACATCAGGACTTTGGCAAGAGGCAGAGAGGAGCTTCCTAACACGATATAAACCTTTGACTTCTTGATTGAGGCAGTGGTCACGCGGGTGTATATATTTTTAAAACTCACCAAAATGTGCACATACAATAGATGCTTTATATGTATTAGTGCACAATGTGTAACTCAGTAAAGTTGATCTTGTGCAGAAGCATTGCCCTGCTGCCTAGTTTCTACTTGAAGGGCTTATGCTCTGCATTTGGAATTTTACTTCTGTGCTCTCCCTAGAAAATGGATTCCCTTCTTTAAAATAAAATATTTAAATGTAAAATAAAAATGCCCACCACTCGTCACTTAAGTGAGAGATCTATGCCAGCAGAAAATCAAATATTACAACAGAAATGCTGCGCACGGCCCAGAGGCCCGGTGTGTGCACCCACAGACACTGCACTGCTGCCCTGCACACAGCGGGCCTCACAGGGCAGAGCGGGCGGCTGAGGCACGGGTGCTGGTGCCGGGCGACACACTGACCTTGGGCTCCTGGTCCCGACTGCTCCGCCAGTGCTTTATGAAGGTTGGCTTTTATATTTGTCTTCGTTTTTGTTTCTCTCAGAAACTAGAAGACTAACAGGCAGGTCAGGCCCTGACCACTGACTTATCGATCACTCCAACTGGTCCAGGGCATCATCAGCTGCTTCAATGTCACTTCCAATTGCTGTCATCAAAGCAGGGAAGGTAAAGCTCAATGTTGACTGGATTTCAGCCATCAAAGGAAATGTGGCGCTGGATGCTGCAGACCATTCCAGTAATAGGCCTGAGAGGGACCCCTGAGCGCTAGTGTGTCGTGTATTTCCCTGAGAAAGTGAGCTCTGGGAGAAAAGAGCAACTTGGCCATGCACCTGAGGCCCAGGGATCTCACTCTCTGCTGCCTGAAACTGCCCCTGCCGGCTCGCGTTGACTGCAGAGAAGTTAGACGTTTTGTCCGCAGGATGAAACAGACTTTCAACTCCCCAAAACAGACACCAACGTGTCCAGGGGATGCATGGTAGGAAGCAACCTGTAACTTCCCTTCAAATTCCTGCAAAAAGAAAACGATGGATGAAAGGATAAAGCCTCCCTTTTTAACTTATTGAAAAGCTGTAATTTAAAAAACAATTGTACAGTAGTGGAATTTAGGACGAATGGGTGCAAGTGACAGAGACAAATTTTGCTCAATAAAAGAAGTTTCGAATGAAGGGAGGGCTAGGAATGGGGAAAAAATAAGAACCAAGATGCATCGTGTAAAGGTGCAAGTCCCAAGGAGAAATGTAATTGTGTTGTAGAACTACAATGTACCAATAAAAGATTTTAAGAGAAAAAAAAAAAAAAAGAAGCTTCTAGCCTGGAGAGTGGGTGGAGATGCAGCTGCTGTGTGCTCACCCCGAGGTGGAACCAGCTCCCTTCAGGGGTGACCTTGGACCCATGATGTCACTCTCAGTCGTGAGTCCGCGATCTTTTCCCTTAATTGAAGGTCGTATAATTTTTAATCCATTTGAGAATGATGGGGATAATAAACACAAAATACTACTCATGTGATCACAGCTCCCATTTTCACTATCCCCCCTATAAATTTCTTTGACATCGTTTACTACATGGATTTAATAACATTTCACTTAGCAAATAAAAATCCTGCCTCTGCATCACTCTCCAACTTTAATAATATGCATAAGCCAGAAACCAACAAACAGTTTGCTGTGGAAAGGAGCTCAGTCCCTATCCCAGAGTCCTTGAAGTCAACTCTTGACACACGGTCATTCTGCAAACATAAATCTCTAAGAGGAAGGTCAGCCACAGATTCTGTCCCTCAAGAGACCCTGCTGATGGTTTTTCCCTGCCAACAGAATGACACAAGTTCTTTCTATTCTCATCCTGGAAATTCTTTGAATTCTTCATGTTCTTGTAAACGGTTTCAATCTCATTTCTCACAGAGGGCACTTGGGACAAAGATGATCACAGGGATGGCTTTTCTTTTCCTTTTGAGAACTAATGAGACATTGTCTCTAAAGTAGGCGGTGCTCCCAGGGAAAGATAGCTCCAGAGAAGAACCCAAGTCAACATCATTCATAGTCTTTGAAACCGTCCCTCCTTTGAATAAAAAGACCACAGTTACACATAATGAAGTTTAATTTGTTAAATGCTGCTCAGAATTTCAGTTCCAAGACCCACTTGTTTAAGAATGTGCATTTATAGCCTGGAACTGAAGTACCAGCTCTGTGAAAGCCAGAAGATTCCTCTCGGCTGGTTCTGACCACCGGAAGGCCTGGCTGGGGAGGAAGGAGTTGATAGTGCGGACCCACTCCTGGCAGGTGGGTCTGAGGCACGCCCCTGCCCCATATTGCCCTGGTTCTTTCTTGTCGTGGTACACACCATTCGACTCTCCCTCACTTCCGAGGAAACAAGAACAGAAACTGGGCAGTGGCTTCTGCTGGATTCATTCAGCACAATTCTGAAGTGAGGAGTGGTATCCGCTGCCTACACAGTGCATCCTCTCCTGACCTTATTCTCCCCCACCTCATCCTCCAGGCCTTCCTCAGTTCCGGCTGCTGCGACACATTACCAGGCTGGCTGGCTCATCCACAGCAGACATTTGCAGGCTTCTGGGGCTGGACATCCAGACCAGGTCAGGGCCTGCTGAAGCCCCTGCACCGGGGTGCAGACTGCCCACACTCACCTGTATCTTCACGTAGCAGGGAGGTCCGGAGAGCTTTCTGGAGCCTCTTTTATGTGATCATGAGGGCTTCACCCCAACACCTAATGACTCCCCAAAGGCCACACTTCCTAATGCCATCGTACTGGGGTTAGGATTTCAGCATTTGAATTCAGAGGTGACACATTCGGTTCATCATACCTTACGTCCAGAAAAACATTTGCGCCACAATTTAACACAATTAGAATGACCATGCAGAAGAGTTGGGTTTAAAGCTCATAAGCTTTATATTTTAATGATGTACCTTCATATCCATTTCTTTAATTTTCAAATAATTCTGTAAGCAGATTTGTGATGTTTCTGATGAGGAAAGAAGACTGGAAGCCTTGCCTAAGCTCTAACAGCTACTAAGCGGCATCGAGCTCTCCTGCTCACTCTTTCTAATCCTCTCTTGGTAACCCCGAGGAACCGCAGCGTGAGCAGTTTGGTGGAGGACTTCTCTGCTCTGGCTGTTAGCTGATCTGAGTCAGTGCATGCCCTGTGAGGAGGTCTGCAGCATTCCTCTAGGCCTGGACACTTGTATAAGGGTAAAAAGAAAAACTCAAAAAGTCGTGAGTCGTAAGACTCCTTTCATACTAAAATGATGTCAGGCACCATCTAGTGTTCCTAGCATCTTTCTCAATGTATCCTGAGAGGTGGTCACTGCATAAGTTAAGAGTTATTTGTTTCCTAAAGAAGTTGGTAGCAGCCCAGAAAACAGAGTCCAAGTGAAAGCCCAGCTATTCATTATTTATAAAATCAAACGGTATCATTTTTGGTTGACAGTACATGAAATTCATTCTGGTCTCTCTCCTTCTCCCCTCTCACTTTATTTTTGTTTATTCAGTTCCCAAAAGAAATCAATAAATTTGAAGTTAGCAGTTGGAAAATAGCTTAGTTAATGACTAACTGATCTGAGAACTACAATTACCTTCTCTTCCAAAGAAATTATTTCACTCGAAGTTGAAATGGATTTAATGCTGCCAATCCTCAGAGATATGCTAGAAATCCCATATCTTCTTCATCTTCCAGCATAGAATGGGCCACACCCTGCAAGCTGCAGCACTGTTAAGGAGATGTGCTGCGTGGTGTCTGCAGATGGCAGCCTCATATGGGTGGACCCAGAAGACAGCACATCCATTACTTTCATCAGTGCTAAGCAGCTACCTTCTGCAAAGCAGTTCTGTCAAGTTGGCTCCTCCTTACTATTGGCTTCTGTCAGCCCTTCCAATGAATTTTAAGTGCTCAAAGATTCAGACACTTTCTGAAACAAGTATTTGGAGACTGGATGCATCTAGATGTAGAGCAATTGCAATGGCCCTTTGAAATCCTTGACCTCACACCCTGAGAAGCTGAAATGAGTTGGAATCTGCGTCAGCTACTCTGGGTCCTGGAATTGATACTGGAGGCAGGCTGGGAAGGTATTCAGAGACAGTGAAGTGTGGTGGCTTTTGCTCTGGAGAATATGGGAACAGCTCACATGCTCAGCATTTTGACCATCTTCTTATTCTGCTCCAAATCCACTCTCATAAGAGCTAGTTTTCTGACCTGAGCTTCCTGTCCCTCTGCAACTTTCTGTCCTGAGCTCCCAGTTTCTTCCTAATCCACTCCTTTGCCTTATCAACCAATTCCATCTCTCCCGGGATGCTTCTGTCCTTCAAAAAACATTTTTATGACTTCATCTCTTGCATTAATTACTATCCAGTATGATCTCTGAAAAAATTCTAATTAGTCATATTTTTACTTCGTTCCATTGTCTTGCTTGTCTTTTTACTCAGTATGTTGATTGCTTAATCTGCAACAGCTAGCTGTACCTATAAGGTACAACTTTCCTCCTTTTCCAGAGGTCCTCAACTGTCAGCAAAGATTCTCGGCAGAGCTTTGGTTGAAATATTTAGAATACAAACGTTGGGAAGTAACATTGGCCCCTAAATTAAAGCCTCCAAAATCCTCAGTCTGGATGAAGTTGTTCTTAATTTTAGACTCTGGGCATAGTCAGGGAATGAGTGAGAATATGACACTCTATCCACGTAAATCGCTTGCCATGAAATATCTCTTCTGTCCAACACTTAGATGAAATACAGATGCAGCGTATCATTTCCGTCACGGACCTCTGTCAGTCAACTGTAACAAATAATTTTGTCAGTTATCCTAGGGTCTCTGATCCCAGTCTTCTTCCAATTCCAAGAAGCAATAGCACTATCACTTTTTCTTCCTAGAGTCTCCACATTCCAAGAACTAGTGTCACAGTGATACAGATCCATCTCCTTAGTGGAATCTTTAACCTTGAATATTTAGCCTCAGAATCACTCAATCAATGGCCTGTCCTCCACTGTGAAGTCCACTGGACAGAGGGACATCTGATTTCCGCCCTCCGTATGAACTGATGTTCTGTACTTTTCCCAGAGCTGGTCCTCAGGAACCAAGGACCTCTCTTTTTGAGTCACTGGAGTTTTATTTGGTATCTTTTCTGTTGGGTAAGAGACTAGACCACTCACCCCTACCTCTCTAGGCCAGCAGCACTTCTTCATCAAGCACGGCTCTCAGCTCTGCCCTCCACAGGTGTCTCCTGGAAGCCCATGGGCGGTTAACCACCATGGAAGATGTTTGTCTTCACACAAACTACATTTTCTTAAGAAACTTCTAGAGATCTTTTCATTTAATCAGGCTCAGAGGGCGATTCCACTGAATTAGAAACTGACTGCCTAAATCTGCAAGAGAGAATGAGGACAACCTCACCTGACTGTTCACAATTCCATGTCCGCCCAGCAGCCCTGGGGGCAGTGGTTATGACTTGAACCAGAGCGTTAATCAAATCCAGATGGGGGCCCTCCTTTGCGCTCCCCGAGTACACACCCCGACCCCGGATGTGGGCCACATTCCACAGGACAGAAATATGCATTTCCACCCATACTGTTTAACACGCGCCTGGCATACAGCAGGATCCTGCTAAATGACAGTCAAATGCATGAATGATATCCATCCATTTAAACTCTTTGGGCTGAGATTGCTAGGAGACAACAGCAGCACACAAAAGGAGATTGGAGACTGAGTCTTCCCTGTGTCACTTT